AAAAAAAAAAAAAAAAAAAGTGGGAAAAAAGGCAACAAAAGGCAAGGACTCACAAAGTTCTTGACCTCCCTGCGGGCGTTGGCGTCGATGGCGAGCCATCTCTGCTGGTACTGGGCCTTGATGTCGGGATCCTTGGAGGTCAGCGAGTTCTTGATCTGCAGCCCCGCGGCCACGCGCGCCACCTGGCTGTTCCCGGGGTTGGCCAGCACTTTGGACAGTTCCACCAGGAAAGTTGGCTGTGAAAACAACGGGATCAGACCCCCCCCCCACCCTAGACACCCCAAAAATCTCCCCTGGTCACCCCCACAAAGCCACCACCCCCCCCGGAGCTAGGCCCAGATTAAGGGTTAAGCTCCTCAAGAGAAGCGCCGGAAGCTCCGGTGGGATTTTTTTTTTAAGAGCTGACACTGAAGCACAGTTACCTTCCCTGCCCTGAGAATTTCTTTAAATAAATGGATTTATGGGGTTAAAAACAAAAAACAAACAAAAAAAAATTGAGTTTTCTGGGTGGGAATTTAGTGTGGAAAAGGAGGAATTCCCTGTTTGTTGTTGCGGTGGTTCCACACATGAACTGGGATTGGTGAAATCTGGAATCTCTGATTTGTGACACTCTGAACTCTCTGCTGATCAAAAGGATGTCTGACCCCCAAAAATCATCATTCACTCCCCAAAATGATGATGATTAACCCCCCAAAATCATCATAAACCCATCAAAATTATAATAAACTCATCAAAATCATCATAAACCCATCAAAGTCATTTTAAACCCTTCAAAATCATTTTAAACCCATCAAAATCATCATAAACCCCCCAAAATCATCATAAACCCCCCAAAAAAACCACCTGAGTGCACACAAACCCCCCTGGCATTGCTGCCACCCCCTCTGCTAAAACCTTTCCTTTTTAAACCTTTTTTTCTTTCAAACATTTCTTAATTTCTTCACTTTTCAGAGGTTTCTCTGAAGTTAAGTCTGAGCAGGGAAGTTTTATTTTTCCTGAATATTTTTCCTCAAAAGCTTTTTGCCTGCCCAGAAAATCCTTCCTAAGAAACAGTGGGAGCAGATGCATCCCTTCCCAAACCTTTTTACACCGAGCAGAAATGTGATTTTCCTAAAAATCTTCAACTTTTTTTTACAATAAACCCATTTCTAGAATCACTTAAGTAATCTTAAAATACATTTTTTTAAAAAAATTCCTTAATCTTAAAAGATTTTGGGGAACCAAAAACGCATTTTTCAAACTAACCCAACATTCAGAAGTTCAACAAACAACTCCAGTGCCTTGAACTCCACGTTTTCAATGCCCAAGCCAAGCTTTTGAAATAAAATCCATTTTAGTTGTTCCATCCCCAACTCTTCAACGTTTAAACTGCAGAATTTGGGGTCAAAAAATGGGGGAAAACTTAAAGGGATGGGTGTGAGGCTTTAGAAATAGACTCAGTTTAATGCAATAGAATAAATCCTACAAGCAGAACCCACCAAATCCCTTCAAAACAAATTTTAAACTCTGATTTTATTACGAGTCAGGAGCCAGCCAGAATCAGTTCACAGGACAAGCCAGAAGTGTTGCTGCCACCTTGGACAAGAAAACTCCTGAAATTCACAGGTGGAGGAAACCTTTGGGTTTCTCACCCATAAATTAGCAGGGAAAATTTGCATTTTTGTGAGGTTTTGGGGGTTAAATTCAGCTTTAAAAAATGAGCAGCATCACATGGAAGCTCCCAGACTCGAGAGAGAAAGGGAAGGCAGATGTGCCTGAGCTGGCTCCCACCTGCAGAGGTGTCAGGGAACAGCTCAGGTAGAAAGGGAGAAATTAGCTAAAAGGGAGAAATTAATTAGCTAAAAGGGGATAAATTAGGGGTGGAGAGGAGGAGGAGGAAGGGGGATGAGGAAGAGCAGGAGGCTCCATCAGGGAACTGGGAGATGCTCCGGATGCTCTTCCCACCCATCCCGTGCTGGGGACAGGCCTGGATTCCACATCCTCATCCTCCTGCTTCATCCCCACCCTCATCCTCCTCCAGGACTTGGCCCTTTCCCACACAAATCCTCAGTGCCAGCCCAAGCTCTGCTCTCACCCAGTCCTGCCTCTCACAAAGCAAAGGAAAAAATGAAAGCTCGGAGCAATCCCACAAGGCAAAGAGGACAAAACGAAAGTTTGGAAAATGAAAACCCACATCTGCCCCAGCTCCTCCCAACACCTGGAAATCAGGACCACGAGCAGCTCCTGCCCATCACCCCGAAATCCCTCACTCCACACAGCCCTGCCACTCCAGGCTCAACTGGAGGCTCCTGACACTCCAGCAGCACCAATCCAGAGGATTTTTCACTCCAAACCGAGGTTCAGCACAAAGGCTGCATCAACGCCGCTGCCGAGGGGGCTTCACACTCCCTCCAACAGCAGCAGAAACGCAGAACCCCTGTGGCTTTCCCAGCTCACAGCAGGCCCGGGGAGGGAACCGCTGCTGGGGTGACAGGTGACACTTTTGGGGGTGATAACGGCGGTGTGAAAAGGACAGCACCGAGACACCGGGGCCCAGCATCCCCCAGTGCTCCCCAGCCCTGCAAGGAGCAGCCAGAGCTGCAGCCCCACACCTTGACTAAGCAAAAACCTTCTCCAGCACCACCAGCAGCAAATCCCCCTCTCCAGCACAGCGATACACCCGGGAGTTTGGGCTTTTTTCGCCCCTATTTCTTTCCTTTTTTTCAAATTTCTTTTCCTCCTCACATTTTTTAAAGTCACCGCAGATGCAACTCCCCCTGCCCAGCCGAGCCTCCCTCCCCCACCGGACGCCCCCGAGCTCCTCCCCAGGCTCCCGAAGCTCCGATCCCGCCCGGGCTGGGGTCTCGAGGGGATGCGGCGGTCAGCAGGACCGGACAGGGGTCCCGAGGGTACCAGAACCGGGCAGCAGGACTGGGCGGGGGTCCCACGGGCGGCAGGACCGGGCACTAAAACCGGGCAGCAGGACTGGGCAGGGACCCCGCGGACAGCGGGCCTGGGAGAGGGTCCCGTAAGGACCGGGCGCTAGAACCGGCCGGGGGTCCCGCGGAGGGCGGGAGCGGGCAGAGGGACTGGGCGGGGGTCGGGCGGGCACTGGGGCCTAGCAGGGCTCTCGCGGGGGCTGGAAGCGGCCGGCGGGGCCGGGCCGGGGTCCCCGAGGGCAGCCGGGCTTTAGGACCGGGCGGCGCCCGGGGCCGCGATGGCCGCGGTGGCCGCACATGGCCCGCGGCCGCTCCCGCACCGGCCCCGCCCCCCGGCCCGGCGCCGCGCGCTGATTGGCTGCCGAGCCCGCAGGGCGCGCTGTGATTGGCCCGCGCGGCCGCCGGGCGCGGGCAGGGGCGGCAGCGGCCATGGCGGCCGGGCCGGGCCGGGCCGAGCCGGGCGGGGCGGGGGAGGCCGCGGAGCGCTCGGGGCAGCGCCGGCCCCGCCACCCCCGGGGCCGCGCCGAGCGCTCACCAGGTTCTCGATGGCCGCCTGCTCCAGGAACTTCTGCGCCGCCTCGAGCTCCGAGCAGTCTGCGGAGGGGGAAACCGGCGTCAGCCGCGGCCCAACCGCCCGGGCCCTCAGGCTCCGAGCGCGCTCCTCACCGTGCCCGGGAGCCTCCCCGCCGCCACGGTTCCCGCCTGCCCCGCGGCCTCTCCCGCCGCCCACGCCCTCCCCGGGGCTGCGGGCGCCGCCTCGGCCGCCCCGCGGGTTGCGCGGCCTCCGCCCCGCCCGGCCCCGCCGGGCCTGCCCGCCCCGGCGCCCTCAGCCCTCAGCCCGCGCCCTACCCGGCGAGACCGTCTTCTCTAGGATGGTGATGAGCTCCATGGCGGCGGCG